CCCAAAACATCCTGTTTCCTCAGTTCTTAAGTGGTTTAAGGTTTTGTTTTGCTTTGTTTTTTTTTTTTTTGTGGTTTACTCATTTTCTGACTTTTGCCAGCTCTGGACACGCACCTAGCTCAGTGGGATGCTGCAGGGCTGAGCCTGATCCTGGGTACCTCAAGGCATGGGGTGGGCTGAAGGGCCTGGCCCTCCCCCTCAAAGGCAACTGGGACTTGATTCATGGGCAGAGCCGGGATCTCAGTGCCCTCGGAGGGCTGCAAGACATGAAGCCCTGAAGATGCCCCAGCTGCAGCTCTCCCTGCTCCTATCAGACACCTCGATCCTGTTCCTGTTATTGCTGGAGCTGCTTTCAGCAAACAGCTGCGGCTCAGACCAGGATGAGTGTGCCTGTCCCAAGCCCTTTGCACAATTCATGGCATCCCCAGCGCGGGGTTTCTCGGTCCAACAACAACATTAAAACAATGTAATGCAAGAAATCAGTGGGAGAGGCTTCAAAATTCCAGCAAAAACTCCGCTGTCCCTTCATCAGCCCACGGAAAGCAAAATCCACCCTTTGCAAAGGGATGGTCCTTGGGGTCGCATCTCCTGCCCATGTTCTGGAGCAGTCCTGTGCTTGTTGGGGGTTGGAGATGGATGATCTCCGAGGTTCCTTCCAACCCAATCCATTCTCTGACTGTGTGATAGCTGTTGTGGTGTCCCTGCTGTGCAGGGCCATGGAAAGGAATACAGACCAGTGCTCAAATGGAGTCCAGGACTTTGGGACAAGGGAGGACAAAAGGTAGCAGTGGTACAGGGCAGAGCCAACCCCGTGGGATGTGTGCACGGGGCTGAGGTTGCAGTGTGGGGTGGGAGCCTGAAGTCTGTGCTGGCTCCACAGAACAGAACAAGAAGGAAGGGACCCACAGAGGTCTTTGTCCAAGCTCCAGTACCACACAGTACCACCCAAAATCAAACCCTGTGTCTCTTTGGGAGCCATGCTCACTGCCCTGGGGAGCCCATTCTATGCCACATCCCATAGACCAAGCTGCCCACAACCACATCCAACCTGCTCTTCCAGGGATGGGTTCCTGCCTCACAAACAGCAGCCCCCATCCCCATCCCCTCTCCCTCAGACGGATGCCATCAGCAGGTTTCCATTCCATCCCGCTCACGGGTGTGTGGCCCCTCGCTCAGCCCTTACCTGCAAGGATGAAGACACCAACGAGGATGAGGAAGACGAGGAGGTAGAGCCCCAACACAGCATACTTGAGTGCTGCCAGGGAGCCCAGCCGCCCACAGCGTCCGGCGGCCTTCATCCTGTGCCCAGCACCTGGGGACAGAGTGGGTGTCATAGGGAGCACCCGGCCAGTGTGGGTCCATCATCTCCAGGAGCCAATCTGCCGACATCTCAGCTGTCACAATGCTGTCAGCAATGCAGCAGGTGAGGCTGGTCGGATTCTGCCCCCTCCCAGCACTCTGGTGCACCCAACTGGATGCATCCAGCAGAAAGATTGAAGAGGGTGAGGCACAATGGCCCCAAAGCCAAACCCAATGGGGAGGAGACCACACTCATCCACGCCCATGAGCAATGCCTGCATCCAGCAGAGAACATCACTGTGGGGCTTGGGGAGCCCACGCCATCCCATTCAATAGGCACTCCTTGGGACCAAGATGGGGATATGAGGGACAAGGGGCTTCTCCAACCCTAACAACTCTATCATTCTGTGATCCCATTGCACCCAGGTCTTCCCCAGCCACGGGTGGTGTGTCCCTCCTGCCCAGGTTCAGGGGCCTCGTGAAACCCTCCAGCCAATGAAGGACAACATTGGGTGTAGGGCTCAACACGGAGCAGTTTTACGGCAGAGGGAGGTTAGTGACCAGGCTCTGAGATGATGAACTGCTATGGTCCTGCTGGCTGACCCCAGGATCCCATGGGATCCCAGGTCTGAGGGCACCCGGAGCAGCGGAAGGTGCAAGGGCAGCTCTCACCTCCCAGCAGCCTCACTCCCTGTAAAGTGCAGCTCATTACCCACATACGGTTCCCATTTGCTGCTCGGGGCATGCTGTCACCGGCCAAACAGATGGAACCGAAGGTTTCATAATGAGCAAAGCTGCAATATTTTTCTGACATTAACACTTATATCAGGTCCTGGGAGGCTCCGGGAGGAGCTGGCCTCGAGCCCTGAACCACCCACTCCTCCCTGCTCACCACACGAGCAGCCCAGGGCTGTGCTTCAGCTCGTAACCAAGGGGAAAAGCAAATATTTCTCCCCTGCCCATCCCCAAGGGAGCTGAGCTGTGTGCTCTGCCCGGCCCCAGAAGAAGGTGGGGACTGAGAGCAGGGTTGATCCCCAGTCTCATTTAGAGATCCCTGTGTTGCTACCCCAAAGTAGGGGAGCAGTGTTTGCATGCATCCCTCCTCATCCTCATGCTAGGATGAGCCTTGCCTTGTGCCAAAGCCTCACAGGCTCAGGGCTGACCTTGCTCTGCCCAGGGAATCATCCCACGCAGCTCCAGAGTGAACACAACCCCCTGGATCCCACAACAGTGGGTGGGGATGGGATTCCCTGCAGCAAACTGTGTATATAGGGAAAGCAAGGGAAGAGAGGTTTGGGCCCTGGAGACACAGGGGTTGTTGATCCAGCACATGGGGCAGCACGCTGCTGCACAGTGCTACAGCCAGGGCTTGGCTGCAGAGGGCTCCAGTCCTTCCAGCTCCTGCTCCGTGCCAGCACTGAGCTCTGCTGGGGTGGTCCACGTGCTGCGGGGTCAGGGGGAGCATTGCAGGGTGACATAGGGTGTGGGTAGCAGCACAGCATCTCAGCATGCACTGCCGTGAGAAATGACCCACAGACCCAAAGCTGTGCCCATCCCAAGGGCTGGAGCACCATAGGAACACCACAGCTCTTCTCGCCTTGAGCCACCTGCACAGCGTGAGCATCCACACAGCAATTTGGCAGTGCCTGGATGCAGCCTGCCCAGCCTCCCCATCACATCCAGGGGCTGCCCCACGTGTGTGAGCCTGGGAAGGCATCAGTGATATGAGCAATGTTCTGCCTCCTTCGGGGGAGGTTGTTCCGTGGTACATGCTCTCGTGATGGGGACCAAGCCAAGATTAAGTGGAAGAAGCACTTTGTATGCCAAGAGAAAAGAAAAACGGGCATCTCTGGGCAAAAACACATGCATGAGAGCTGGAAGCTCAAACTCTCCCCACTAAAAAAAGCACCTCGAGCACAGCCCTGGTCAGCAGCAGAGCCCATTGAGATCCTATAGGAGTGCTCATCCCCACATGGGACCAGAAAGGACAGACAGAACAGCAGAGGAGGCGCAGGGAGCTCTGTGCAGTGGGATTCCCTGAGCGCTTCTCCCAAAGAACTGCAGTGGAAGTGGAGCTCCCTGCTCTGGGTGGTTTCTGCCCCCAAACGCAGCACGCAACACTCACCGTCCTCGCAGAGGTTCAGCTTGGAGAGGTTCCTGCCCTCGAAGGGCTCCTCGAAGATGGAGCCGTTCTCCCTCTCGCTGAAGGTGTGCAGGTACATGGCCTTGTTCTCCATCCTCCCGCTGCCTGCGGGGCACGAGGGGAAGAGCGGAGAGGGCTGGAGCCGGGAGCATCCCAGCACCACGGTTCTCACCCGGCAGCATCCCCAAGGGGAATCAAACCAAACCGGCAGGGATGCTCGGGATGGAGGCACCGGAGGCTGCGGGCAAACATCGATCCCCACACATCCCCCCGGGCTGTCCATCCTTCTGCTCCCCCCACCGCCCCCTTCCCATTCCCGGGAAGTTCCCCACTCACCCACGCAGGACGGGATTCCCGTAGTTCTCAACACCCCCAACGCAGCGCGATGGCCGGGATAGGAAAAGACAGCGAGGGCCCGGCGACTTCTCCCCGCCACCCACCCGAACCCCCCCAACCCCCCCAGCCGCCTCCCATGGGCTCCCGGCCGGCAGCGACTGCGGCGGAGCGAAGCGAGTGCTAAGCTGAGCCGGGCCGGACCGGGCGTGTTTTGTAGGATAGGGGCGTGAGGGAGAAGGGGGGGGGGAAGCCGGGTCGGAGCCGTCCCCGCCCCGGGGCGGGCAGCGGAGGGGAGGGGGGCAACAAGAGGGAGAGGCCATGGGGCGGGGGCACCGCTGTAAGGCATCGCTGTGTGCTATGGCACCGCTGTGTGCTACGGCACCGCTGCACACCGTGCTATGGCACCACGCGCACTCTGGCACCAAGCCGTATCTTTTATTGTGTTATACGTTTTATTAGATCTCAGGCAAAGAACTTCCAGCAGATTTGCCCTTTTGTGGGTGTCTCCGTGCACCAAGCAGCCCGTTTCCCTGTGCACGGCTGCAGCGTTGCTTCAGATAGACATCAGTCTGTCTTTGCTGGCTTCTACCCGAAAACTGAAAGGCACTGGGAAAAGGCATTCGCCTTTGTAAAAAAATAAGTACAAAAAAAACCCGACAATGAATGTTTCAATACAAATGCAATCAATCACATACACGTAATTCCCTATTCCCTGACACGTGTCCATTGGTCACACCACCATGTGGTGGCACCTCCAGCAAGCACCAAGGCCAGCGAGGGGGAAAGCCCAAGGAGGGCTGGGATTTGCCATGGACCCAAAGGAGAGCTACACCTTCCTGCATCCTTCAGAGCCTGCTCCATTGAACCCCTAACTGCTTTTAAATCCCCCCTTGCAAGCTGGCCACCATAGGGAAGCAATGAACAGATTAAAAAGCAATAAACATAATAATAATAATAATAATAATAAAAAGCTAAAAAAAAATTTGGAAAGAGAGCTTCTTCTTGCAGGACCTTTCTGGTCATTCCAGTTGTCTCAGTGTTCTCAGCAAATTCTGGATTTCTTGGCATTCTCCCAGAAAATCTGAAAGGAAAAATGTCGATATAGATGTTTTTCTCAATGGAATGCTAACACGTGAAGTACGGATGAATGGAGAGATGCAAGGCCCCAGAGATGTGCACTCCCCCCATCCATCACAGCACTTGTGGCCCAATCAGAGCCCGGCCCATACCCGGCAGTGCACCCATCAGCTGGTCGTTCTGGCAGAACGCGACGCCCAGCATGCTGAGGAAGTCCTTGCTGAGCTTGGTGGTGATCTGCTCCTGCAACCAGAGAGCATGAGAGTGTCATTGTGCTGGGATGGCCAACAAGGGAATGAGAGTGATGGCATTTCTATGGCCAAGACGCTTGCATGGTAAGAGAAGCAGAGACAGAAATCAGGAAACAAATGGAACAAAGTAAGAACTCACAGGAAACGAGGGGATCAAGTCGTAGCATCATTGAGGTTGGAGAAGATCTCCAACAATGACCAAGTCCAACTATCAACCCATCACCACCACGTCCCTTATACCATTGCTCGTCCATCCCAATTTCTGCTCGCACAGCCTGGACTTCCAACAGCAATTTTTGCAGCATGACTCACCGTCAGATCCTGGAACTGACTCATCATCTTCTCCTTTGCTTTTTCAAACATTGCCTTCCGCACCTCCAGCTCAATGTTCTGCACCAGCGTGGCTTTGATTCGCGCACAGGTATCCTTCCCACGTATATTAGCAGCCTCTGTTATGCAATGGTGGGAAATATCAAAAAACATCAAAATCATGGAATCATCAAATCATTCAGGTTGGAAAAGATCTCTCAGATCTCCAAGTCCAACTCCACCCCACCCCACCACTGCCCACTGCCCACATCCCTCAGTGCCACATCCCCACAGTTCTGGAACACCTCCAGGTTTGGTGACCCCACCACCTCCCTGGGCAGCTGTGCCACTGCATCACTGCTCTTTTGGAGAAGAACTTTCTCCTAATACATAGAAGGCCTTTAAAGAGAAGCTGGAGTGGTATTCAGATGTAAAGCATGTGTTAAAGCCCATGAACCCTCTGTTGGTAGATTTCTACCTGTTGATCTCCCTCTTCCCAGAGCTACATGTGCTATCCTAAAATATTCCCATACCCAACAGCAAAACCTCCTTCCAAAGCCCTTCAGGGGCTTTGTGGGATGGGACAAAGATACCAAAAATACAAGAAATTGCTGCAATAGAGTTTGGCACTCAAATGCTTTCTTCCCTACTAGGATAATTGTGACCTGCTGAGTGCATCACACGTTGGCACAGATTTACACATCCTCCTTCATTGAATTCAGGTTCTGTACTGAGAAGTCTCATCCGAGCTGGGAAAATGTGGCTGTACAGTGAACTCACAGCCTCAGACACAGAGTTAGCTAGATGGAGAACCAGTCCTACCTTCATAACACGGTGACAGGATGGTTTGGATGGTCAACTCAAGAGATTCATAGATAGCCTTCTTTTTCAAAAGAATTTCTCTATCTATCGCTCTCATTATGATGTCGGTCTGCAGGAATTAATGCAGAGCATTTACAGCATCTCCAAACCCTCAGTGGGCAACAGCAGGAGCAAACAGTGAGCCTTACTTCAGGCTGTTCATTCAATAGCATTGCCTCCAAGGCATGCATCACACCCCGAATTTGACCCCAAGATGGATTCTCCCCCCAGGAGCACCCTGCAGCATGGGGCTATGTTATCAGTTCTGCAGCTTGGCATCAGATCCATCCTGATCTGCTTGCCTGGGGTTCCCATTTACTTTCCACTACCTCTAGGCGAGGCATCTGCCAAACCATAATGGGTTATTCTGAGAATGAAACTCACTGGATCAGCATGGAAAACAATTCTGCTACCCCTGAAGCTGGTTGTTAGAGGGTGCTCCAGACCTCCATCCAAAGCTGCTTACACACTGCAGCTCTGATTTTGCCCTATTTTGCATCCCCTGAATCCCTGCCAAGGGGCTGCTGCCCACTCTGAGGTCTGTACCAGCTACACAAGCTGGCATTAAACTTCCCCCATCTTAAACTCACCTCTTGCTCGAGAAAGTTGAGCTTGGACCTGTTCATGTTTGTAACCTTCCCGAAGTCCATAAATTTGTCTTTTACCTCCTTGCTGAACTCATTGATTGAGGTCTGCAGGCTGTTCCTTGTGAGTGCCTGTTTTCTGTATGGGTAAGACCACAATGATTGTTAGATCCCAGCAAGTTTTCCCCAACTTGCTGTCCCTTCTGGGCCCTGCATGGCCAGGCACAGAAGGATTCATGGAACAGGGCTGCTGGGGAGTCCCGTGGCAAGGGGAGAGAGGAGGAGAGAGGAGCAAGTTGCTGTGGCACTGACATGGTCAGTGGGCATGGTGGGAATGGGTTGGTGATGGTGATCTTGGAGGTCTTCTCCAACCTGAATGGTTCTATGATTTTATTTCTGGACACGGTTAGTGGGCATGGTGAGATTGGGTTGGCGGTTGAACTTGATGATTGTAGAGGTCTTTCCCAACTGTAATGATTCCATGGGAAGTCCATCAAATATTTTGTGTAAGTAGGTGAATTACGGTGGGGCATCTTTAGTTTGTCCAGTGACTAGATAACATAATGCTATCTTGGGTTTCTTGGGGAGGAAGAAATATAGACCCTTGTGCTTCCCAGACCAGGTTGTCTGCAGATGGCTTTCCAGGAAAACTCTTTTCTTTGAGTTTCCAAGATTACTCTCTGCTCACCCACCATTCTCACCTGAATATGTTTGCAAACATCGCCCCAATTTCTGCATAGATGGGCTCAGCCAGGCAGTTGTTGATGTCTATGCGATTGAAGACACGGGACACATACACTCCCTTCCTCACACACACAGCTTTCAGGGTCCTGTGGAAGCCAGAGGATGTTTTGCCTTGCTGCAGAGGGAGAAAAACGGCTGGCATGAATAGAACCCCCAGCAGCAGTACTGCCCCCATGGCCAAGCTCTTCTTGTGCAACTGCAGAGATTCCTAAACTAAAACAAATAAGGCCACTACTACCTCCTGAAGCTACTTCTTCCTTCACTAGCTGGAGGAGAAACTCACGCTCAGATGGTGGGCCTCCCATGCCTCTCTTGTCCCAGCCAAGCCATCCCAGCCATTCCTGGGCTCCACACCATCCCCATCCAGTGCACGTCCAAGACTTGGCCAGTCCTGTTGGCATGTAGCCATGGAGCAACTTAGGCAGGCAACTGGCTATTGTCTTTAGGCATGGCATTTCTTTAATTTGTCCATGTTTCTTTTCCTGGACTCAAACTCTCATTGCTAAGCTGAAGTGACATTGAATAGCAGTAAGAACATAGCTCATCTCTTAACACACAGACTTCAAAACATTTGCCAGTGATCAGTGAGCAAGAGAAACTCAGCTGATGACAGAGTCCCTGAATCATAGAACTACAGAACCACAGAACAATAGAACCGAAGAACCACACACACAGAATCACACACAGAGAATGGCCCAGGCTGGAAGTGACCTCAAGGATCATGAATCTCCAACCCCCTGCCACATGCAGGGCCACCAGCCTCCACGTTTAATACCAGCCCAGGCTGCCCAGGGCCCCATCAACCTGGCCTTGAACACCTCCAGGGATGGACGGGGCATCCACAGCCTCTCTGGACAGCTGTTCCAGCACCTCACCACTCTCATAGTATGGTGACATCCAACCTAAATCTTCCCTCCTTCAACTTAAAACCATTTCCCCTTGTCCTCAACCACAGAACCGAAGAATCATAGAACCGAAGAATCATAGAACCAAATAATCATAGAACGGCTTGAATAGGAAGGCACATTAAAGACCATTCAGTTCCAACCCCTGCCACGGGCAGGTACAACTCCCACCAGATCAGGGTGCCCAAAGCTCCATCCAATCTGCCTTTGAACACCTCCAGGGATGGAGCATCAGCACTTCCTCTGGGCAACCTGACACTGGATGTGATGGCAGTTGCAGCACAGAAAATGTAATGATCCTATTCAGCCTCAGAGAAACCTATGCCACTCACCATGAAGACCTTCTCGATGTTTTTCTTATACTTTGTTCGGGCAGACCTCACCCCATTGATGAGAGGCGCATCCATGTGCCCAAAAGTGACCTCAACCGACTTCTTCAGAGTCTGGATCTTCTCTGACATGAACACGTCGAGCTCATCCTTATTCACAGATGGATTCTGCAAGAGCAAGGTGACATAAACATACCCTGGCAACTCCTGGGTAGCTTGAATGTCAACTATGAGAAAAGAGGGGAAGCTAGAACCTGTCCTCTTATTGGTCCCATGTGAGAGGGTTGAGAAGAGGAGAAAGATGAGAGGGACAGCAGCCAATGGGGCTGCAGGGCTGGCAAAGCTCTCTCAATCTCTATAACTTTCTTGCTTTTTCACCCTCTCCAAAAGGAGTAAAGTGGCTAACCAGAAAATGGCTTTGCAGGCAGGTGCATCCTCACAGCTGGGTGTACCAGGCAAAAGGCTTTCTATGTTTGAGGGATGCTCCTCATCTCCTGGCACTGCTGAATTTACGCATGCATGCAGCAAACCTCTACTTAGGGCAGCAGGAGTAGTTCTACATTTGTTTGCCAACACTAGTGCTGCTGCCTCCAGCTGCAACCAGACATACCTGGCTGAGGTGTGTGGAATGATAAACATCCACCAGAGAGAAGATAACAAGGATTTCTTTCATGTAATCTTGTAACTGACTTCGTTTTGTGTCCAGGTAGAGCTTCCTGATATGGGCTCTCAGCCTGACGATTTCTGAAAGATAATAGAATTGCAGTTTATATCCCATTGCTATCAGATATCAGTACATAGGCAGCAGGATTGCAGCAGACCCCCAGCCCACCCAATACCTGTATCCTCCCTCCTGAGGACTGTGGGGTTCCAATACTCCTGGGCACTGACGGGGAAAACCAGCTCCTGCTTTTGCAGGACCTCCGCATCACTGGGTAGACTCCTCTGAAACGTGCAAGTATGCAACAACAGTGTGCAACATAAATCATAGAATCATTCAGGTCGGAAAAGACCTCTCCAATCTTAACCCACCCCCACCAGGACCACTGCCCACGTCCCTCAGTGCCACATCCCCATGGTTCTCAAACACCTTCAGTGATGTTGACCCCACCACCTCCCTGGGAAGCTGTGCCACTGCATCACTGCTCTTTATGAGTAGCACTGCCTGGGATTGCTGTGACCAAAGTGCAGGACCCAACACTTGGTCTTGTTGAACTTCATCCCATTGGCCTCAGCCCATTGACCCAGCCTGTCCATGTCACTCTGTGGGGCCTTCCCACTCTCAGGCAGATTGACACTTCTTCCCATTTTGGTGTCATCTGCAAACTTACTTAGGGCTAACCCAATCCTGTCCCAGGCAAACATCTTTGTAAGGGGGCTAATGTATTTACTGGGAAAAGACACATGCATAAACATCAGCAATGTAACTGACACTTTCGTTACCAAAATAAAGACCAAATGATACTTCACAGCCAGCAAACTCTATAGAACGACTCTACCTTCATCTTCTCCCTTAGTGTCCTGGTCTTTCTTGCTTTCAGGTCTTGTTTCGTCCCCAAAATGGCATCACGCTTGCTTACATCCCTCTAGATAGCAAATGGTAGTAAGTGTTACAAGGAGAACATCCCCCCTGCGCCAAGGCAAAGCTGCAAGCAAGCCTGGTGCAGTCCAAGTGCAGAGCCCCCCAGCAAGGGACCAGTGCTCCCCCCATTACATCCATGGGAGACAGCAGCCATCCTCCAAAGAGAGTCTATGCACTTTTGCTCTATGGAAATACTCAGTTAGAAAAGGGGTGTGGGTTTCCACCTCTGAAAGCAGCCAGCAGATACTCACTGAAGCCTCTGGGTGGCTCCTAGGAAATGAAAAGAAGAAAAAAAAAGGGCTTTTAGCAGATACGGTGAAGTTGAACCCAGCCCACAGCACTACCACCATGCCAAAGGAGGAGGGTGGTCAGAAAGACCACAATAAAAGCACAAAGGATGTATAGTGATGGGGCCCTGCTGTAAACCCCAGGCACAGATCTGGGTGCCAGGGCTTTTGAATGTGTGATGGTTACAAAATGAGACCTACTGGTAGGGAATGCAGCTGGACGGGCAGCACACAGTGGGGATGAGGCAGCCTGTCCTTCTGCAACCCAGAACAAGCCATTCCCTACCTCAAGTACTCATCCACAGTAATCTTATCCATCTTGGTGATCACAAAGGTGATATCGCTGCACTTGCCGGCCTGGCAAGCTTTAATTGCCTCTTGCACCATAATTTCATGTGCTTTAGCCCCAAAAACGCGTTCAACATCAGCGACGATCCAGATGGATGTGCACTGCAGGATGCTCTTGGGGGAACAAGGGGAGAAGAATCAGGCAGGATGCATGAGCACTGAGGGCACCTCCCTTACGTTAGAACCCCAGTGCTCCCCACCTCACTGCATTGCCCCCAGTGCCACTCACCTCTTTCCACATCTCATCCCTCTTCTTGTTGGCATCACCTGTCCCCGGGATGTCCACAAAGACGACACCTTCAGGCACCAGGTCAGATGGGGGGAGAGTCACTTGCACCTGCTTGATGAGGGGCCAGAGCCGCATCTGCTCGCTGCACTGGGGGTTGCCCACCAACTCGACTCCCTCAAGGCCATCCTGGTTACGGATGTATGGATCCAGCTCATTGGCGAGGTCTTCTGCCTGGGATACCATGAGCAATTCAATGTTTGCGCCCCATTAATGGTCTCAAGTTGTGCCAGGGGAGGTTTAGGTTGGATCTTATAGAGAATTTCTTCATGGAGGTGGTGGTGAGACACTGGAAGGGGCTGCCCAGGGCAGTGCTGGGGTCCCCATCCTTGGAGGTACCTAAGAGATGTGTGGATGTGGCACTAAGGGACATGGTTTGGTGGTTGTCGGGGTGATGGTTGGACTTGGTGAACTTAAAGCACTCTTCCAACCTAATGATTCACAGATTCTTTATAGAGATAAACCTTCCAAGCAGCCTGCAAAGAGCTAACCACTAAAACAGCGTGACAAGGGAAACAAAGATATGGGAATTGCTGTGTGCTGTGCTCACCTCTGTCTTTCTCAGAGTGATAACTCTTGACGGAGGAATAGTGATCACAGGCTTGGTTCTCATCAGGTCTTCATAAGATTTTTCATCTGCTCCTTCCCCGTAGATAGCCTTCAGCACTTTGATGGCATGCTCCAGATCGCCATCAATCTCACTGTTCTCATGTCTGTTCTCCAGGAGCGTGACCAGGTTCTTCACCTCCTCCTTCCACTCCTGCAGTGAGGAGCACGTTATGCAGCAGCACGGTTCCAGTTTGTTGGGGCAGGAGCGGCTTCAGTTGTGGGGAACAACAGGGAGCAGCAGTGCAGGGGCTGCAAGGCTCCCTCTTGTCTGCAAGCATGGCCAGAGACTCATGGCCAGAAATCTCCATAGGAGATGCAAGGGAATGGAGATGGGCTCTGCTCTGCAGTGCCCAGGGAGCCCAGGGGCACTGGACACAGTCTGGAGCCCCATCAGCAGCACTGCAGTGCTGGGCGGATTTTGGAGTGCTGGCGCACATCCTCCCCAATGGGGCTGGGCACCCTTCCATGGCAGGGCCCAGAATACACTCTTACCTCATCCGAGAGGAGAAAAATCTTGGCTTCATAATGCTTGCTCCTGCAGACGCTGACATGGACCTGGCAGGACGTACATGTGCGGGTCCCTGACACCGGGAGGAAGAAGCGTTTGCCTAGGATGGTGTTGAGCAGAGTGCTCTTCCCTGCACCACTGCTCCCAAAGAGCCCAATGTAGAGGGGTTCCAAGGTAGGCCTGGAGTCGAGAGTGGTGAAGCGGTCCCTGGGGGAAGGGGTCACAAGAAATTCTGACCACTGCAGCACATGCAAATACCACGGGAGTTTTCTCCTTGCAAGATGCGATATCCCCAACAAAAGGACTTATTACTAAGGCACAATCCATGCTCTCCAACTTCCTTCATTTCCCTGCCCCAAACCCTGGAGACCCCATGCCAAAATGAGAGCAGCTCCAGGGGCTCCGGCGATCCCTCCCTGACACCTCCAGGGGATGCCAGCAAGGACCCTTCAACCTCCCCATGGCACAAAGCCACCAGGGCACAACATGCTTTGCCTTTGGGAGTGCACCTTCCAGAGCGATCCCAGCATTGATTCCCACTTTCAATTTTCTCCCTAGTAACTGGTGTCTGTCAAAGCCTCAGAACAGAGCTGAGCCTGCAGCCGGGCCCAGAGCATCGCCAAAGTAAAGCAAGTTTGGAGGAGCCTCTTTGGCCACAGACTCACCGGAGATAGGCCAGGTGCCCAGGCATGTCCTTCAGCAGAAAGAGATGTGTCATCTTCTGGCAGGACGTGCTCAGAATTTTTCTGGCCTTGCTCTCAATGTTCTCATCTGGAAGGGAGAGGTGGTTATGTGGTCATTCCAGTGTGTAGGAACAGGGCTGTAGCCCCTCTCTGAATCTTGGGCCAGCCCTGGTGCCATGCACACGGCTCCATGCACTCACAGTTCCTGAGAGTCTTCAGTTCATCCTGCTGGAAAGACAGCTGCAAGCGTGGTTGCTTCCGAGGAATCACAGCTGCACTGTCCCCATCTGCACTGAAGGGAGCTGAAAGGACAGAGATGTGAAACTGTGCTTCCAGTACCCCAAGAACAGCCCAAGTGAGGACACAACAGCAAACCTCACGTCAGCTCCCAGATTGCCTTGGTCAGGCAGATGGCTGCTGGATGGGGTTTGTGTTGGACACCAACAGAAAGAGCAAAAGGGGCAGAGCAGGGCTGGTGTGATAGATAAGCTAGCATTAGGTCACAAATCTCCAAGAGGATGGGATACATAGAACTGTAGAATCCCAGAGTGGTTTAGGTTGGAAGGGATACTAGAGCCCACCCAGCCTCAACCCCTGCCACAGGAACACTTTTCATAGACCAAAGACCCATCCATGGCCTTGGGCACCTCCGGGGATGGGGTACCCACAGCTTCTCCTTTCTCCACCACTTGTAATGCAGCTGTCTTCCCATGCATTGGTTGCCCACAGCGGGAGCCTCACTTGGATAGCTATGGCAGGCAGGTAGATGGCTTCACACTTCACACTGCAAAGAAAAGCTACAAAACTGGCCCTAAACAGGTAGAAATCAAGAGGGGGGTGAAAACTATTTGCAATATTTCTGCAGAAATGGTGTCAGGAGTCTCAAGGACATATCTTCACCTCCTACCTGCTACCAGGTGACTCATCAACGTGGGCATTGTTTTCGCTGGCTCTCCTTTCCATTTTCTACCTTTCTTTTCCTGGTGTAAACAGTTTCAGGTTTTGCAAGAAACCTGAGTGCCACAAAGCTAGAGTGTTTGTTTGGGTGAAGGCACACACAAATCTTGGGCAGAGCCTTTCCCTACTCCTCTGTGCTGATAGAATCACAGAATAATTCAGGTTGGAAAAGACCTCCAAAATCCCCAAATCCAGCCCCAGCCCACCCCACCATACCCACTGGCCACGTCCCGTCCCTCAGTGCCACATCTCCACGTTCTTTGAATACCTACAGGGGTGGTGACCCCACCACCTCCCTGGGCAGCTGTGCCATTGCATCACTGCTCTTTTGGAGAAGAAATGTTTCCTCATATCCAACCTGAACCTCCCCTTTGTCCCTGCATGAAATGGAGAGGCTCTGGAAGGCCAATTCCTCTGCCAGGAAATGCAGATTAAACAGAAGCTGTGGCTTCTCACTCCTGCCACCTATCTAAAGGAGAGCTTTCCCTGTAGCAACCTGCAAGGAAGTGAAAGCAGAAGGTTTGGGAACAGGGATATGCACTCACCATCAGGATTTGCATTTCCATGGGACCCCTCCATAGTCTTTCTTCCACCAGGATGTGCTGTTACAACCAGCTCTGTGCTTCCAGAGCCACCTGGGGGAGAAAAAAAAGAGATAAGTATGAATCATGCAGCCTTTGCCACTGGTGTCACACCCTCGTGCCCAGCACAACCCCAGGTGTCCTGCACACACCTGAACACAGCCGCGCCACTGATCGATTCACTTGTCCAGAGGTTGCTCTGGGTATCGAAGAAACTCCATGCACTTGTTTTTATGATGTTTTGGGTTAATCATCAACCCACACACATCAGAGGAGGCATGGCTGATGTTTCAACTGCGGTGCCTATGCCATCTGTCCTTGCAGGGCTGTCTATCACAAGGAGCATCTCCCCCTGCCTTGGGCAGGCAGCACCAGCCCGCTGCCCCAGATCCACCCCCAAGTGTTTGCTTCCATGGTTGTTACAGCTGAGCATGCCTCGATGGGCTGCTCAGGTTTGCACTCTGAGGCACCCGTGGATGGAAATGGTCCCTCCTGCTATGGGCAGCTTCTCTCACCTGTGCTCTGCAAAGATTTCCAACCTCCAGGTGTGTACAGACAGGAGAGAGGTGACCAAAGGCTTGTCTATGAAGTCATCCACAAGCAACCAAGAAATCGAATTTTGCAGCCTTGCTTTCACCTTCCTCTTGCTTGTCTCTCAAGAATAGAAAAAGAAATGCTTACGCATGAAGCCCTGCCCGTGGCATGCACCTCCCCTTTGGGGCTGAGCCAGTTTCCCTCGTGTCCTGGTTTCAATGGCTGTACCTGCTCACAGCAATGACAACATTCTTGGCACAAGTTCTGCACTGTGCAAATGCAGATGCAAGCACCTGCACCATTTCTGGAGGTGTTCCAGAACCGTGGGGATGTGGAACTGAGAGATGTGGTCAATGGGCATGGTGGGGTGGGATGTGGTTGGACTGGGTGATCTGAGAGGTCTTTTCCAACCTGAATGATTCAATAATTCCAATTCTATGATTCTCACAGGGAAGGTTTCTTCTATTTCTGGTTGGAGTTTGGAGCTGCTGAGACACCTCTATCCTCCCCCTGAACCCAGCACACCTTTAGTACCTGTGCCCCATGCAAATCCTCTGCTTTGTATTGGATCATTCTGCAGAGGGAAGCACTTCTTCAGCAGCTGTTTGGGGCTGGTTTTACCCAAGCCTGACTTTCACAGCAGCACACTAAGTGTACACAGAATTGTTTACAACACTTTTATTTTGTTAGAAAAATCTGAAGCATCAAGAGCAATATGAGCCTGGCTGGTAAAATCAGGATACGTTTGGCGTGTAGGCATGCAGGAAAGGGGTACTAAGAATTGCCCAGGACTCTTAGGTTGTCAGTATTATAAAATGCATACAAAATATCTCAGAAATGCCTTCTGAGATGATTTCCTATGAAGTCACAGGATAAAGAGAGCAAGCCACAACCACGAATAATAAGACCACACCATCAGGAGCAATTCCTGCAGCTCTCTAAGACATTTTGGCTGATTGCAGGGTCTTGTGAATGAAGTTGATGTTCAAGAATTCATTCTGCAAATCTGCAAAACAGAGGAGACATGAGAGTCAGCTGGACATCTGCCTCTGGGGAATAGGAGAGATTCCTCCATGCAAGTGTTCTAGAAGGCATACCCAGCTGGAATTTATTTGACCCCATCACCAAACCTGTGCCTATACAGATGTGTATGGATTTGGGGATTGTAGAATGCAGAGCTCTGGTACAAGCTGGGAGTCCTGAGGCTCTGGGATGTGGGCACAACGCTTGCTTATGGCATGTCCCTCTGATGCCCATGGGAACCCAAGGAAAGCACTTCATGGTGAGACTGCAGCTTTGGATGTCTGCATCACGCTGTCACCCACCCCTGTCATGACCTCAGGAAGGGGATGAGGGATCTGCACAAAGAGCTCCCAACCCATCTACAGGGCTGTACCTGGCAGCTTGCCATCCAGTTGGTCCCAGGGGCAAAAGGCAAGGCTGAGCATGTTGGAGAAGTCCTCCTCCAGCTTCTTGGTGATCTGCTCCTGCAGCCATCACATGATAAAGCACATCAGTAGGGGAGAAAAGTGAAGCTCCTCATCCCCCCAGTCCCAGTCAGTGCACCTGGTCACCTCCCAGCAGGGAAAGGACAAGGGCAGCCACCACCCATCTTTTCTTGGTCTGATCCCTGGTGTTGGTGCACGAGAAGGAGAGGGCAGTTTGCAGCACAAGACAACAGTTCAGAGTGGAGTGTGGCTGTTCTGATAGGGCTCAATGTATTATAGGGGTTAAATATTTCCAGAGCAGAGCCTCTTCAGGTAAAATAAAAATGCGTTGTCCTGAGCACACTGAATGCAGAATGGTGAGGGGCAGTTCAACAAGGGCAAGTGTAGGATCCTACACATGGGAAGGAATAACTGAACACATCGGTGCAGGTTAGGTGCTGAGCTGCTGCAGAGGAGCTCTGTGAAGAAGGACCTGGATGTCCTTGTGGACAACAGGTTGCCCAACAATTAACCAACAGCTGATCAATGGTTGATCAGTGGTTGACTGACAGTCGACCAATGGTTGACTGATGGTTGACCATGAGCCAGCAGTGCGTCCTTATGGCCAAGAAGGCCAATAGAACCCTGGGGTGCATTGCACAGTGTGTGGCCAGCAGGGCAAGGGAGGTGATCCTCCTCTCTGTGCTCTGCCCTGGGGAGGGCACATCTGGAGCACTGAGCCCAGTGCTGGGCTCTCCAGTTCAAGAGGGACAGGGAACTGCTGGAGAGAGCCCAGAGGAGGGCTGCAGAGATGGTGGGGGCCTGGAGCATCTCCTGGTGGGGAGAGGCTGAGAGCCCTGGGGCTGTTCAGCTTGGGGAAGAGAAAGGGAGAAGGGATCTGGTCAATGCTGATCAATATCTGAAAGGTGGGGGTCAGGAGGAAGGAGTCTTCTTGTTGATGCTCAGCAAGGACAAGGAGAAATGGGCACAGACTGGAACCCAGGGAGTTCCATACAGACATGAGGAATAACTTCTTTACAGTGACAGTAGCAGAGCACAGTCACAGGCTGCCCAGAGAGGTGGTGGAGTCTCTTTCCCCTGTAACCTACTGTAGGGAACCTGTTTTAGCAGGGGTTTTGGTTGGGGGATCTCCAGAGGTCCCTATGGTTCTGTGATTCTGTGAGTGCAGCCAAAGAGTGCATCATGTGAGCAAAATCATCTCCGAGAATCACAAGTGAGCCAATGTCTCACAAGGAAATGCATTCCTGTTATCACACGTGCACAAAGTCCTTTTGGGGACACTGTCCTCTACCTGCAAAGCTCTGCCCACGACTGTGGAGAGGTCCCCAAGGAACACGAAGGCACTCAACTCACCTTCATGTCCTGCAGGTGCTCTCTCATGCTGTTCTCAGCTCTCTCAAACATCCCGCTTTCCACTGCTCTCATGATACCATTGCTAAGGATAGTTTGCATCCTCTGGTAGGCTTGTTGTCCTCTCACTGCAGCAGCCTCTGTGGCAAAGGGGTCATTGTCACATTTGGGGTCCAGCCCAAGGGGAGTGGGGGCAGTGTTTTGGTTTAGGAAAGGGTCACAAGGTCACAGCTGTGGTTTTTCTACAGCAGGAGACCCATCTGCCTCTGCTCATGCCAGGGACCTGCATTCAACCAGCTGGATTTTAACTTTTTTGTTTCCTAAGTATGCCATCTACTGATAGGAAAGGAAGAAAGAAACAGATTAAGGAGCTTATGAGTTTTACTTCTTCCTTCAGAGACATGAAAAGGAATGAATCAGCACTAGAAAATGTCTGTAGATTACAAAAATTAACAAATTGGATTAAATCAGGCAAGTAAATTTCCATATTTGAGCATGAACTACTTTGGACTTCTGAAATCTCTGTGAATCAATGACCATCCTTTTCCCTGTGGATTTCTTCCCAGCCTTTCTATAGGCAAGCTGTAAGCCCACACCCTTCTGCTCAGCCCTTACTGGGGTCATTCTGTTAAAATCAAAAGAACCTTCAGGACAAAGGTGATGGTCATACCTTCATAGCAGAGCAGCAGGTCATTCTGAATGGATACTACAAGGGACTGGTAGATCTCTGCTTTTTTCTGAAGGACGAGTTTCTCAGCCTCACTGACGATGAAGTCTGTCTACAAGAATAAGTTCAAATGCTTGCCCAACAGCATGACAGTCATACTATCGTAGAATCATTCAGGTTGAAAAGACCTCTAAGATCCCCAAGTCCAACCCCAGCCCACCCTACCATGCCCACTGCCCCTGTCCCTCAGTGCCACATCTTCAGAGTTCTGGAACACCTCCAGAGATGGTAATCCCACCACCTCCCCTGGACAGCTGTGCCACTGCATCACTGCTCTTGTGCAGAAGACCTAAGCTAATAACTTCATACTAATAACTCCATAACAATGACCTAAACTGGAGTGTGGCATTTAACAGATGACCAGTGGGCATCACTTTTCCACTGCTCTGAATTAACATGAAGATGTCCAACTGGGGAGTTTTATTCCAGGACTCAAGAAAGAGTGGAAGAACTCCTAACCCTACTGATGATCATGCTTGCTGAAGACCAGGTGGAACTGCTCATATCTCTCTCTGTGTTCTCTCCAGGAACTTCAAACAGAGCAAGTCATTTCCACAGGTCCTATATAAGCAGTTCTTTCCCCCTTTCCATCTCCTCTTGCTCCCCTTGCAAGGCAAGTGTACCTCCTGCTTGAGGAACGCCAGCTTGTGCTCATTGTCAGCCATCAGTTTGATCTGGGCTTCCTGTAGTTTCTGCTGCACAGCCTCTTTGAAAGCATCAAGGCAGGTTTTCAGTGTGGAGCAGGTGCCCATCTGGATCCTATCAGGGTAGGAAATTCATCAAAAAAGACAATTGCAATGGCACTCTACTGTCCACGGCCTCCCCATTCTGAGGATTCTATGATTCCATTCTAAGAAGCACTGGCACAGGTTGCCCAAAGAGGTGGTGGATGTCCCAGCAGACAGCCAAAGCCAGGATGGATGGGGCTCTGAGCACCTG